CTCCTAACCTCAAATGGAAATTTATGCTATCGCGAAAGATGCTGGAAGAATAGTTGGTTATTTCGTTCTAACTCAGAGTTTAAAAGCGCCTAAAAGGCCGTGTGGATGATGAATTATTCTGCACCTTGCAAGCAACCCAAATCCCACAGACTAAACGTTATCAAACTTTGACTATTATATCGCTATTAATATGGCAGATGTTTGAACGAGTTACAGTCGTAATTTCCAACAGCAAGGGACCTTCACAGCTTGGACCCGGCATAGCATGTTCACGGTGACAAAGCATCCTCATACGCTTCGTTTTCCTTTGATAAAAAAGCAAGTTCTAATTCTCCCTTAGAACTATTACTTTGTGGGGAAAAAACCCGCGAGAGAATTGTCTCCTGACAGCTACAATCTTTGTCTCTTTAAATCCAGAGTCATCGGATATCAATCCTGCTCGTCCTCATAATACATTTTACTTCACCCTCCTTTACAATCTCGCTCAGCAACTTTCTAATTTGAATGACCCCTGAACCTTGTATTGAATGAATTCATAGTAAAAAAAAAAGCAAGAAAAAAAAAAGAACAATATGGCATTGATCACGACTACCGACTTATCTCCACTGATCCAGAATCTGCACATCCATATTTGGTTTGTGTGTGTGTGTGTGTGTGTGTGCTGGGGTGGGTGGGCATCAACTCCAAACCTACTGATGAATTGCAAGACATAGCCGTCTTCAAACTCGAAAAAGAGAACAATGGATGGATAGATCTACTGATTAGGTCTTAGTTTGAATAGTTATAAATAGCTTTTCTAATTAATCCGAGGTCTCCGATTACAATTGGAATTACTGATGTCCTCATGTACTACATTTTTGAGATTTCAGAATTATTATTATTATTATTGTTGTTGTTGTTGTTATTATTATTATTATTATCTTCGCTTTAGATGTACTTAATGACCATTACTGTTTACTGTTATAAATGGGTATCTCCACTAATTCGGTATACATAGGGTTTAAAATAAAATTTTAAAAATGAAAACTTTCTTAAAGTTTTCATTTTAGCTTTAACTGAAAGGTAAAGGATTTAAAATGTACTATTTCCAGTAAGCAAAATATTCTGTGACATATTTCGAACAGAAAATATATCGATCGGAATCGATTTTGTTTCAGTAAAATCTATAAAAATCGGCCATTTTCACACATTTGTAAACAAATGTTAATTCTCAGTTTTAAAAATCTTGCAACAATAAAATATCTTTCTAAAACATTATTTGAAGAAAATTAGCAAATTTCAGTTTAAATTAATCTAATTTGTAACAAATATTACTCATACCATAACATGTTGCATACAAGCATTTCTTAACGGGGTCGTGTTTTTCTGACGTGTTAATCGATTTATTGACAGCCGATTGACCGCTGAACGTGTTCATAGTTAAGTATATGTAGCAGACGATAAAGTTTGAATCTTTTTTTCTTGTAAGTGGGTTCAACCCTTCAAACACGTGACCTTTTAATGATAACGTTGTAGGTTTGGTCCTCCATACTTTGAAATCCTGCACGTATATCACACATACAAAAACAAAGCGAAATTCTTTTTAAAATATTCAGGGCCATCAGATTGTAATAAACTTCACAATTTGCGATTAGTAAATATACTTTTACTTAATAACAATATTTTCTACAAGTTGTCTCATTGAAAATGAATTTTAAAAGATTTAAAAATTTTATAAATTATTCAATTTAAAATTGTAAAAAATGATAACAAATCCTATAAAAATTCATTTTTCATCGAAATATTTTTTCTTCAGCCAATATTGTCTTTAATATATTCATAAAAGCAATTAAAATCTTCTCTAATTATATAATGTCTTAGTTTTATTGCGCTTTATATTTTCCGATTCAGAAAATATTTTCTGTAAGAAGGGGTCCGATTTTGGAAAAAAATGGTGATTTAAATTCTTCAACGAATTTTGATTTTAATTAATATAGTCATTAAAGATTATCACGTTGAATTTCACAAGATTTCATAAAATTAAGTGGCGAGTGACATATGTAAAAATACCAAGATTTTCTAAAAAACAAAATTCAAAAATAATTTCATTTATTTGTGAATAAGTTCTATAAATTTCATTAAAATCCGACAATTATTTGATTTTTTGCAAGAATTTCCAAATTAATGTGACTCTCACCACAAAAAGAGGCTATAATTTGCTATGCTAAAAGTTAGTACAGCCGCTGATGCACGAAAAATAAGTTTTTTAATCAGAATTTCGAATATTCTAAAAAGTAGTAAAAAATTTATGTAATTATTCAAAAAATACCCTGATTATTTATCTTAATAATAACATGAAGATTTTGACGATAAAACTATATTTTCATTACGTTTGGAGCATGTTTTCATCACGGTATACTGAGATTTTAGCGTTTTCGTGGAGGTGCCTAGTTATAAATAATTATATATTTGTTATTAATAATTAATAATTCATACATCTGTTATTAATAATTTATGCAGATAGATGACGGAAGTCACATTTTGTATAAAAGTCTATGATAGGTTGGGAAACGGTACTTTTACCAGTCTCCCGGGCTAAGTAACAGTCTAACTCTCTGCGTTCGGGCGGAGAGGAACCCGGACGAGGCTCGGCCGAAGGGCAGAGTCTCTTTCGGGGTGGTTGACTGCCCCTGAACCCGTTTATGCGGGTTCAAAGAGGGAATATTTTTGGCCGAGCCTACGGGTTCGGAATTCCCACGTTAAACCCGGCCTTGTGCCATATGTAACCCTCGTGTGTGTTGGAGGGGGGTGTAGCTAAATATCACTTTTACCAGTTTCAACGATTTTTTTTTAGCGAATACATTATTAACAAACCAAATTAAAAAAAAAAATTCAGTAAAGTGAAGCACAGAGGGGCAAACTAGTGGGACAAACTGTGAGGTTTGAACTCACTACACAAGCGATTTACTTTGCGAGCAGAAGCTATCAGCGTTGTAATATCGTTGCTACCCATTTCGATTTGAATAGCTCATATGTAAGTTAATGCTTTCTAGATAATGTCATCCGAGCGAATGTTACTTCTAAAAAAAGTCGTTGAGGTCAAGGACTTGAGACAGCTTGTAATTTCAAAGGTTGGACTGGGGTACCTGAAGGTGTGTCTGGGGAACGAGAGAGGAAACAGATTTGCTTATAACTTTGTAGTTTTCTCGGCGCTTGGCATTCAGCCCATAGATTAGATGATGTGAGCTCTCCTTTTGTTTCATTGGTGTATTTTTATTTTAAAGAAGACATAAATTTAATGTAAAACTCTGAAATAAAATTTTACTTAATTTACTAGCAGAGTGTTTCGTTCATGATGAAAAATCACTTCGTTTGAAAACCAATTTTGTTAAGATCAACAAGATATTTTTGGAAGATCACAGACCAAATCGAAAAATAGATGCACCGCTTCCACCACAATGACACCACTTCCAATCTCAAGGGCTTTCTTTTTAGAAAGTCATTTTTACAAATACGCCGCAATATTTCATTAAAAGCTTACGCATCTCATTCTCATATTCTTTCTTTCTTTTTTTCTTTCTTTTTTTTTCGTGGGTTCATTTTTGTTCTTTATTTTTAATTCTTTATTCCTTTATTCTTTCTCTCTGTCTCATTCTCTCAATATCATATTACGTACTATATACACTTTATTTTTTTTTCATTTTCTTTTTTAATTCTTTTCTTTTGTCTTCATTCATTTCCTTCTTGTATTTTCTTTAGATATCTTTCTTAACTTTTAATCTTCCCTTTTCATTTTGTTTGTTGCTTTGGTTTCCTCATCTTTTTCTATTTATTTCTCCATTTCATTCTCATTCTGTGCCATTGTATAGTTGTTGTTAGTTTTCTTACTCTACCATGACTACTACTACTACTTCTCCCCCTTCTCATCTCTTTTCCTCCTCCTCCTCTCCTCTTCTTCTTCTTCTTCTTCTTCTTCTTCTTCTAAATTCTCTCATCCTTTTCTTCTCACTTTTCTATTCTTTCTTTCCATCCCATGTTCTTTCTCTTTTCAGTCGCATCGTTTCCTGCACCCCCTTCTTTTTACCCCCAGCCTATTCACTAATCACTGTTTCCTCGCTCCTCCCTCCTTCTGCAACACACACTTTTTTCTTTCTCTCGCCTCTTCCGATTTATATCCTCTGTCCTTTACGACTTGTCATTAATTCATCACTCATTTTTCTTCTCTGTTTATTTTATCCTTTCCTCTTTTTTATGTTTTCTCGCCTCCTACTTTTCTTCCTACTCTTTTCGCTTCTACATATTAATAAGAAGAACAGGAGGGAAAGAAACTCTACACACTACATTCGATAATTAAACAAGGTTTCACCGCAGCGCAAAGTTTTCGAGAGACCGGTTAACACGAGATTAAGCAATGTCGCTTTTAAAAGACCGGAAATTGTAGCAGCGCCATCTCGCGGGAAAAAAACAGCTGGAAGACAGCAATAACAATGGCGCATGCGCAGAGTTGACTTGTGGGCTCTGACAACGTGGTATTTAATCAATTAGACACGTGATTCGCAGGCGGTAATAAGAACGAAACCACTTTAGTCACCGCTCATTAAAAAATAGTCGTCACTATGGAAAACTGTTTAGGTAGTAATAGTCACTTTCAATAGTCCTGGAGCCCAGTAGATTTTTAGGGCAAATCACCAATTAAAATGATCGTTTTTTTTTTTTAACTTAAATCTCGGAGTTAGTTTATTTTTATTTTATTCAGTTTTGGTTAACTATTACCTTTGTAAATTGCTTTCATACACCTATGGATTTCTAAATAATAGTTTAGCAACGATTCTCGACTGAGATAGTGTTCATGGCGAATTGTATTTTGTCAGAATTTGCTAATTTACTGTTTCTTTCATAACATCAGTGTATCTAATCGACTGATTTAAATTTTGGGCTCAGATTGATCTAAGCACTTCGAAAATAAAGGAGTTGAATTCGAAATTAATTCATTAAATAGCTTTCAGTAAAAACAGGGTTTACATCCATATCACGTTGAAACACCGGTTCTCGCACGATCACCGAAGTTAAGCAACATTGAGTCTGATCAATACCTAGATGAGTAACCACTTAGGAATACCAGGTACTGTAAACTTGGATGTGCAAGTGGTGTAATGAATAACGGCTCGGAAGTGTTAATCGGCGAACTGAGTTTCAATTCCAGTCGAGTTCGTTATATACACTTAGGCGCAAAATCTCCCCCTCCAGCTATTCTTTATTTAATGGCATTTTTGTCAGTAAACCATTCACAAAATTTTACAATCTAAAAATATTTTTCTGGATTTAAATAACCTGCTACATGTTGACAAGTCGTAATAAAGAAATCAATTCAGATAGAGCAAGAGAATTTGCATTTGAGCTTAAATTATAGCCGAGATCATTGCGTTCGCACACCTTTGGAAATTATGAATCCATCGGTTTCCTCCCTAACTAGGGGTTAATTAGCAGATCAGATCTTTAGCTTTTGCTGGCAACTAGTCTAGAAGTATAATTCCGAATTTAAAACTTCCAGTATCAACATCAATGCTTATAGGGAGGTAGAAGATGTAGTAAGGTTATTCTGCCGATTGGGAAGAGGCGTTATTAAGGACCGCCAGTGGTTTGGGTCATAGAGTGTTTGTGGCCGATTACAGCGTACTGTGGCCATATACTCCACAGGGGAAGTTTACTGCATTAACAACAATAGCAGCAACATCGATGCTTATAGGGACGGTAGAAGTGGTAATAAGTTTTTCTGCCGACTGAGAAAAAGCATTATCAATCAATACTGTAAAAACAAGCCATAAAAATCATTTTCTCTAAGCAATTCGCGGATTATCAAATGAACGCGTATTTTCACTGAGAATATGGAATAATGCATTCGTGTTAGGCCAAAAATTTGGGTTTAGCTATTTGAACGATGAAACTAACAAAAGTGAAACTGACTTAGCGGACCGCTGGTCTTCATTTTTCGTCTTTCCGCCATTTCTATACCTATTATTACATCTTTTTCCGTACAAGCATTATGGTAAATTTACCTTCAAAATCACGCAATGTATCTCTGAGTTTCACAAAATTACTGCACTTAAAATCTGGAAGAATTAAAAAAAATATCAGTAAAAATATTAACAAAAAAAAAAAGCGATTGAAACCTGAATGAAATCGTTATACACCGGGCGTCAAAAATTCAATTTAAAGCTGAGCGTCCCTCTATCTTTAAAATTTTCGATATAAAATTGTAAGCGACGAATGCTGTATGTCTCACTCCAACTCTAACTCTATAAGAGTGATTCAACTGATAAAACCATTATTAAGGTGAAGAAGTCCATCTCAGAAAGAACCAACCAACCAGTTCGCAACAAGCGTGTAAACTGTATGTACAATGTCTACTAAAGATGTATACACACTTCAGGAATGGAAGAACTTTATTCAGACATCAATAGATTAATACCAGTTACTTTTGGACTCTACAATCACAATGGTCGCCTTTAGATTTCAGACATTTATTAATACAGAGGACTACTGCTTGGTAACTTTGACCAAAGTGTCCAGTGGAATTGCTGCTCGTGCCTTTTCATTTTCTTGTCTAAGGGCTGATAATGTAGAGAAAATATCGTGCAACATTAAGCAATGTTATGGCATGTTGATAAAACTACGAATGGCAAGTTTTTCCTTTCCAGAAGTGTTTACACATTTTTGGCGAATTCTGTATTACAAAGCCTGATTGACAAATTAGTTAACAGAAAAATCGGTTCAAAAGGATGTATAATTAATTTTAACTCGCATTTCTTTCATTTTAATTTTAGTTGCTTCATATTACAATTACTCAGATCATAATTTTACGGCGAGTAACTAAGAGAGATTATTCTTTTTTTTCTGACACGCGCTCTTTATCAGCAGCCGTAGAGTGACGATCTGAGAAGTCGAAATGAAAAGCAACAGAAAATAAGGTGAAAATTCTCTATTAAAAAATGAATAATTGCTGACAATGATTCGTCTAAAAATTTCAAAATAATATTAAATGTTATCGACAAACAGTAGTTTCACTACTTTGAAGATTGGTGCAAGACAATATCTCTCCGTCCAATTGAGTATTGTGGCGTGCAAAGCTAAACTTAGTAACCTAAAACTCTCCTCTCACAGACCATGGAAAGTGCTCAGATGAACTATATTCTTTAGTTTCACCAGTTCTAACCTTCACAGCTATGACCTGCTATGCTACACACATTGTAGCGAACCACTGTCATCTACGTCGTATTCCACTGGTGAGATGCAAGTTCCACCTGAACAGCTTCTTCCCATTAACAGCTGCTTTATGGAACCGACTCCCAAGATGTTGCTTCCTTGATCATTACAATTTTAAGTTATTCAAGTCTAGGGTCAACTGTTCTCTTCCTTACACATTCTCATAAACTGAGCCTCTTATTTAGTAATCTTCTACCTCGAGTGGTTCTTGGGCCTTGTACAAAATGAACATCGTTGTAAAAAAAAATTAAATATCAAAAGAGCTGAAAAATGATTATTTTTCTCTATCGCCACAAGTCACTGTTCGAACACTGGCACAAAAATAACAATATTTCGAATTTTGATTTCCAGTCAGTGGATTGTTAAAC